CCAGTTGGCAAAGTGGCTGAGAAGAATCCTGTGTCGGTACCAATATAAGTCTTGTTGAGTATTTGCCAATTATCTAAAAATGAGCAAAACTAAACCTGTTCTCTAGGAGTGTAGAGTCAAATAGATGCTTCCAAATACCTACATCACATTAGGGGCAGTATGTCCTGGACAAACCTGGCATGAAGACTTCTCTCTTAAGGGCCTTTCCTTTGGAGCACCAGGATACCTGCCACTATGTGAGGATAGAGTTACAGAAAGAGGAAGTCAAGCAATTTTCCCCTTAGGGTAAACCCTGGGAAACTATAGGGAAATACCAAAATCAGTCACTGCTATGAAGGCACATCATCACTAACTTTCAAAAAAGATAATTACAGAAACTTGAATAAAACTGAAAGGTGTAACCAACTACTTATCTCTCAGGTTTTTTTAAGAAAGGGAAGAACTGAGTCACACCTTCACCCATGTCCTGCTTTCTGATGCCTTTTTTCTGCCCTACATGATAAAGAAATAGACAAAGCATAAAGTCACTTTTTAGGAACAGTTTTTAAGATTAAATAAATGCCTTTTTATGCCTCATACTCCAAACTCTACAAGCAGAAAATAAGTTATTATTGTTCCCACAATCCCATCTATCTCTACAAACCCCTCAGTTTTTACCCCTCCCTGAGCCACAGCACCTAAATTTTTCCTACTATCCTACCACCACTCCCCAAACCATTCTACCTCTTCATCCTGCCTTCTTCCTTGAGTCTATGGTTAGGAAACTCAGAAAGGTTACTACATGTGGACATGCAATGTATGGAATGTAGCAGTCCATACATTCTATGAATTACCAAATGAGAATAAGGTAGCTATAAATGTATCAGTTTGATCTTGTGAAATATTTAGTGCTATTTTTAAATCTCCGTAAACCATCTCTTTAAAAGTGATTTTTAATCCACTCAGGGGTCCACCTAATTTATTCCTGGTATACAAGGTAACCATTTGCTTGCTGGTGATAAAACAGATACCTCCATTATTTCAAGCCAACTGAATTGCTCATCATTGTAAACTAATTCTACATCAAGTACTCTTTGGTTTTGCAAAGAATAAATGAATAAGCCACGGCCCTAACATCAAAAAACTCCGTTTAGTGGGAAGTTAATGACACGAATAAAAATTATAATACAGCTTTAGTGAATAACAGAATGGAAGCATATATGTGTACAGAAAAAGCCATGAATGAATAATTTTTGAGGCTCATTGAAAGGCCCACCTGACAAAAATATGTACACTCTTCCCCAGACCTGCCTTAGTGTGTGCAATATTGACAATGAGAGTTATTAATCTGAGACAATGAGTTGTTTCTTAAAAATCCACACATGATTTTGGTGTTACTTGGAAAAGACTGATTACTGAACACCTATTATTATATTAGCATCGATTCATTTGTTCTTACAAACAGGGGGTGCATGGGGGACAAGATATGTAAGTTTTGGTGAGAAGATAATTTCAAGGTTAGCTCATGAAGCACAGCCCATAAGGACTAGCTCACATGGGACATTAATTCAGAGGAACTAGAAAGTGGACCAGCATTGTGAGGGCATGAGCTAAAAGTGACTAGGGCTTGTCCAGACCAGACTTCTTAAAAGCAGAGTTATTACTCACTGTTTCTCCTAAAACCAGGTCACTTATTAATCAATCAACAGATATTTATTAGGCATATTTCCCCTACTTTTTGTTTTTATAATATGGCTTTGGAGTCAAATCAAGACCATCCTCCTATTTTCTTTTTTTTTTTTCTTTATTATTATACTTTAAGTTCTAGGGTACATGTACACAATGTGCAGGTTTGTTACATATGTATACATGTGCCATGTTGGTGTGCTGCACCCATTAACTCATCACTTACATTAGGTGTATCTCCTAATGCTATCCCTCCCCCCTCCTCCCACCCCACGACAGGCCCCGGTGTGTGATGTTCCCCATCCTGTGTCCAAGTGTTCTCATTGTAAGACCACCCTCCTATTTTCTAAGACTGATTTACGATTTCTTCATGTCCTGTTGCCAGCAAGACATCATGCAAAGGTAGGAAGGAAAAAAACTGAAAACTGAGGTTTCTGATGCCAATGCACTGGGGAATCACCTGCTTAGATAACTGGTAGCTGGTTTTTCTCCTGCCCCTCCCAGGCAAGATTGCTTTAGATCATTGCTACCATATTTATGTCTCCTCTCTTCTCTTTAGAGAGGTCACCCATTTCTCCTCTCCTTACAGACAGCTGGTGCTAGCTATGTCACCTAATCTTTCTTTAATCAGCTTCATCAGTTTTCTTTCCATTCCTACCTTAAGCAGTGACTGACGGCGGGGGGAGGCGGGGGAAGATAGTTTCTAACAGTTTAAAAGAGTAAAGTTTAAGAACGGCCAAATAACGACTCATCATCATTAAATACAACATCATTTGAGGCAACACTTAGGCTCCAAATTCATCTCCAGTTCTCCTAATCTTCACTTTGCAGAGATAAATCAAAGAAAGATTTTCATTTTCACACAATGCTCACATAGTATGTGTCTTTAAATGGTCATTACAATTCAGCTGTTGCTAAGATCTACAATTTTCCTTCTAATTGACAAAAACAAATGTAGACAGGTTCTTGAAAGTGATGTTTATTACTAATGAAAATAGTACAGTTGTATACATAGGAAAAGATCCTTATTTATTCGTAAAGACTTTAAAATATTTATTTCTAATTTTCCAATAAGAAGAATAGAACATTTCAATAAAATAGTACAGTTAACATGAATTTATTTGTTTCAAACTCTGGATAAAATGTCATTATAAACAAGGTGAAAAAGAAAAGTCCTTCATTATCCATACTCCATATTAAACATATATTATGGTATGTACACTATTGTTTATATATCATCACATAGTCCTGATATGTGAAAAATTATACCTGTATTCTCTGATACCACAATTATTTTTTCTATATATAATCTTAATATTTAAAGAAGTAATTAAATATGAGAAAAAACACCAGGATGAGGAATCATTTAACTTAGGCTGTAGCTATAACTGTGGGGGCTGAGGGCAATGTTTTTAGCCCTCAGTCTTACTATCCCAAGGGGAGGGGTTCAACCTGTCTCTTATTAGCTCACAGGAGTAGCGTAAGGTTTTACAAAATGCATGACTCAAGGAAATTTCCAGGCAATTCTTTACATCATGGTACTGTCCCATCTTCCCACCTTCCACCAGGATATCCTTTGTGAAATACAATGCAATGGATTTGAGGATTGTGACCGTCACATCATTTTTCTGCATTTATTACACAATTGGGAGTAGAATAAGCTAGAATCTTGACTCACTACAGCTGGATTGTAAATGAGGAAGGCTGGCCCCACCCATTCCTACTGGGAATTGTTAGAAACGTTTTAGAAAACAATAAAACAACCCGTTTGGGGTTTGTTTTTGTTTTTGTTTTTTTGCTAAAACATCTCAATTTAATAGTTATTCTACTTCATTAGCTTTTTCATTATGAAATAAATATGTTGTCTTCTCTTTCCCTTGCAAAATGAAAATTTAATTCAGGGACAGAAAGATGCCAAAGTAGCCATTGTTGAAAACAGAAATAACATAAAGCTACCAAAAAAGTCATGAAATGGAAGTCAAATTTATAAAACAAGCATACAAATGAATAATTAGTTCAGGTATCATACTTCAGCCAACCTACTTTTAGAGCCTACAAAGAATATTTGTGCAGTTTCCAACTTTTTGTTAGAGGTAATATTAAGTCAGAGTTGTTCGACCACATTACAATTTAGTGTGGAAAAAAAAGAAAAGAATAAAAAAGAGAAAGTGGGGAGGAAGAGCCAACCCATGGTGACTAGATAATGCAGAAGAAAAACACAGAAGGTGGGAATAAAATAAGGTAAAGCCTGTACTTGTTTTATTATATAAAGTAAATGGGGCCGGGCGCAGTGGCTCACTCCTGTAATCCCAGAACTTTGGGAGGCCAAGGCAGGTGGATCACCTGAGGTCAGGAGTTTGAGACCAGGCTGGCCAATATGGTGATAGTGAAACCCCATCTCTACTAAAAATATAAAAATTAGCCAGGCATGGTGGTGGGCATCTGTAAGTCCAGCTACTCAGGAAGTTGAAGCATGAGAATCGCTTGAACCCAGGAGGCAGAGGTTGCAGTGAGCTGAGATCGCCCCATTACACTCCAGCCTGGGTGACAGAGCAAGACTCCATCTCAAATAACAATAATAATAAGGTAAATGGGACTTCAGGCCACATAAATGTGAACAAATACCCTTAAACCTTTGCAATGGTGAAAATGAAGCCCTATTTATCAAATAAATTCCCCTTTATCCACAACCCATACAAAAGGATAGTGTATGTAATTCAGTTATAAAGGCTACATCTGTAAACCACCACAGTATCTTACAACCTTTTATAATAACATTTTTAAAATGGTAATTTACCATGCACTTTTACTGCTAACTGCATTTTATTGTTTTCAAATAAGGTGATAATCTTATTGAATATTATATTGCTAGGTTAACAAGAACGTTCTAGTACTCAGAAAATTTCATTCCTCAATTGTGCAGTGTAAACGAGAGTTCAGCCTAAGACTTTTAAATGATGGCATGGCATTAAATCACCTTTGAGGAAGGTCTTTTAGAAAGAAGCCCTTTAGGGGTAGTTTTTTCCATCAAACTAATAGCTCCTTTAGTGCTTTGCTTTGTACATGAGTGGATCTTCGCTGGGGAAACTGTGTTCTTCAACCTTTCAACAGTGGTTCAGCTGTAGCAAAGGTAGGACAAAAGTTGTATTCCTCAACTGAGGCCTCCTGTTCTTTCCCTGATAGTTGAGGGGTTCCTTTACTCTTCCATTTCATTGGTGTGGAGCAGACATTCATGAAGAGCTAAGTGTTTTGCTCTTGCATGAAAAGGTCATGCAAAAGGAAATCAGAAATGGTGACGTGTGTCAGAATTCCCAAATTCCCACTTCACTGCTTAGTTTGTGGAAAACAACAACCCTCCTTTGGCTCAGTTTGTGCTTCTCCTAAGTGTTCCACATGGTGACCTGCCCTAGAGGGATTTGTGTCCACCTGGAATTCTTCCAGCAAGCACACATTCAAAGAGTTGCATTCTGAGGTTAATTTGTGATAAAATATATTTTCATCTAACACATAGTATAGGAAAACAGTTTGCAATCTTAAGCAGAAAATTTTGAAAGTTTCATAAATAAAACTAAGCATTTAGTAGTGACAAATATCATTAACACTTAAAATATCTTAAAGATAATTATCAATTACTTTTCAAATGGGCCCAGTGGAAAGTGTCTAATTATCCAATATTAAGACTAGAACATTTCAATAACATAGTGGAAAGTGTACCTATACTGAACTGTTAGAGGATCCATTATGTGAGTAGAGAATGAAAGGAAATACCAGGACAAGGGTGCCACCTTGGCGCAGGCATGCATACGCATACACACACACACACACACACACACACACACACACACACACACACATCTTGTTATCCACACATACTTTGCAAAATACCTGGCCATCTTCGAGGTTTTCACTAGTCTTACTGTGGCATACACCGAGCCCGGATATTTAGTTTCCAGTATCCTCATTATGAGCAGAATTGGCAGTCATCAAGTTGAGGAAAAAAAAGTGAACCAAGTATTTTATCTTATGGTTAGTTTATACTGGTTATTTATATCTGGTCAGAAATAAATCAAAATGTTCAGAATTGGTTTTGGCAAACATGAAAACATCTAGTATAAAGTATCTGCATTAATAATAACCTAATGTATATGCAATTTAATAACATGATGATGATTATTTGGCCTCCTCAAAAAAACACTAGGGGGAAAGAGGAAAACTTCCATTTTCTGTCAAAATGTATATAAGGTATGGACTTCCTATCTGTTCAGTTTTTTAAATATTTTAATAGTAATAAAAGCTTTGCCCTGTTGATATAAGCAGGAGTTAATTTAGACTGGAGGTATTACACAGAGGAGAAGCAATGAAAATGAGCTAATCTATATTATGTGAGGTAGTTAAGTGCTGTTTTCCAAATTAATATACCAGGAACTGAAGGAGAGACAGGATTTGCCCAAGACATCTTTAGATCTCAGAAGCAACCAGGGAACCTCAGTCCAGCAATCAAGAAACAAAATATAATCTCAGCACTGGGATCTTGACCTGACACTCACTTCCTCCCTGCCCATGTGATTAAATTTGTCTTTAGATTAATGGGAATCTTCTAAACTTTATTTAGAAGTTTATTATTGCATTATTCCTGAAAACTAAAAAAAAAAAAAAAAGACATTAACATAGTTAACATAACAATAATGTGGTCTTGATTAATATGCTCAGGAAATGCAAAACACTGATAGAAGCATAAAAATACAACCCTAATTCTATCCTGCAGCAAAAAAGTTTGCTTTTTCTTTAGCAGTTTGATCAAAAAAAAGAAAGAAAATATTTTATTTAGATGAATGCCTGACTATAAACTACCCACTAAGACTACTTCAAAGGTTTCCCCTTCTACCCAACAATAACAAATATGCTCCAAAATATTCCCTTACTAAGCCAGACTTCTCCATGTAAGAGTCTCACCTTATTTTCCTATTGAGAAACCCGAGGCACAGTTCTTAGGAGACACCCTCAATGATTCAGAAGCAGACAGCAACGGCAGCCCTAACTCCCAAGTCCAGCTTTTTCTTGTAGAATACTTTCCAGAGTTCATGTAGTTTTCAATTTCTTTAAACACAGCTTTCAGTCTTTATCGAAATAAAAATGGTAATATCTCTTACTACATTCTGAAAACTTAAGCTGAAAAAAAAAAAAACAATATGCCCTACATTTAAGGTTTTAATAGAAAACTCTTCTCCAACAGTGTTCAAAATCCAGGTTAATTATATGACATAAGCGACAAGTAATCTCCATCTTCTCCAGGCTTCTAATCAGTTTCAAAACAGGAGTTTTGGTTAAAGCTCTTCCCTGCCATGAAAACACAAACAGCAATTCAGTTTAGGAAAAAAAAAAAAAAAAAAAAAAAAAGCAAGAATGTAATAAAATGCAATTACTGTCATAGATCACTAAGCTATACTCCTAAAATCATGAATACTTTCTATTTTTTTCTTTCTTTGAAGGAAAGTTGTTCTGTTCTGTGCTAAAAAAAATTTTTAATCTACTCTACAAAGACCATGTGATGCTCTAACTAATCCTGAATCAAATCCATTGATATTTTTTGGGCTACCTGATATATGAAAACTCTGAAACTAAGTGAAAACTGAAAATGCTATATGGATTATGTGCCTGACATCTTTCTGATGTCTTATTCCTTCTATGAACCTCCTCAGGTTACAGAGCCTGTGTGGACTTTCTTTTGTGTCACAGGGTCTTCTAGTTCAAATCTTCTTTGTTTCATAGACTCTGTGTGTGTATTTTAATGTTAGACAGTGCACCAGAAGAAACAGAAACATGTAGTCAATCTGCCTATTCCTATAAGGCTCTCCTGAATCCTTCCTTTGGATATCTTAGACTAGAAAAGACTCATTTTTAATTCAATGAACACATTCAGGCAGGTAGCTTCCAGAGGCTTCTAAAGGGCCTTAGGAAAGACAAAAACATTCCTGTTCTTTCTATTGGATACTACTGAAATGGAGCTGTGGGTCATCTGCTGGCTGAAGAGGCAGAGATGAATGGATTCTCTGGTTTAAAAGGCAGATGCCTGGTGATACTGCTCTGGCTGCGTTCAGCAAGACTGGCAGCACCTCCTAGGAGCCAAGTCAGATGTTCAGAGATTTTTAGAGTTATCTCTACCATGCACATGGAATAGATTTCTAAGCATCTTTCTCAGTTTCCTTAGGTATCAGTTTGTCCCTTCTCTGAGAGAGGAACCACGAGCAAAGGAGCCACCTATCAGAGAAAAAGAATTTTGAGTAAAGGGGCAGGGGTTCCACTCAGGGCCATGGGTGTTATTCTGACCCTTCATTAATTTCTTTTATAAGCATGCATGGATTTCTCTGATTTTTCTCTTCTAAAAGCCAAGCCAGAAGATAGCTGTCTGGCCCTCCGTGAACACACACTTCCACGAAGGCAAGAGGAGGACCAAATATCAATACCAAACTGTAATCCTACCCAATACACTCAGCTAATGCCCACGATGGCGTCTCTTCAAGATAGTTTATTTTGTAACCTATGTCTAGTTATGGATTCTGGGAACAAAGAAAAAAATTACAGACATTTGCCCAAAATGCATCCTGAGAAAAGCAAATAGGAAAATTAAGATTAACTTGATAGAGGCAAGAGATACAGTTTAACGAGATTTGTAATTCAAAGCATACTGAAAAGTGTCTACAGAAATGGAATTGAGGGCATACGTTGCAATATGTGAGGACTTATGGCTACTCAAATGTTCTTCAAAGGAACTATCGATGAAAAATATTTTATGGCATCACATCAGTCAGATCACTGGTGAGATCTATGATAACAAGAGAGAAAATATGAAAAGACTATGTGTAGTCCAGGCATCTCTAGTCCAAAACAGACTTAGTTTTACAGTTTATCTGCCACTGGCTATCACTGTCATCTTGAAGGGACATGTAAGGGACAAGTAAGTCCCTTCATGTCTCCAAGATTTCATTTCCTCAAATAAGAAACACCCAATTTTACAAAGCCCTTATAAGGAATAAATGAGATAATCTGTGTGGACATGCATAAACTTCGAAGAACTCAACAAATGTTGGTTATCACCGAGACTCCTGTCACATGGACAGGAAATTCTGTGCTCACTCAGGTGTGGGCAAACTGTTCTAGGGCAAACTGTTCAGTCTGCAGGTTGGAGTAGGGGGCTGTTCCAAAAGCTTACACTTGTTGCTCTTTCACAAAAGCTGCAAACTCAGGATCATTGGCATACAGTTCCAAAACTCTCATTCTCTCTTGAATTTCCTTGAACAAAAAAGAAATAATAGGCCACACATTGCATCAGAAAAACCTCAACAGCCTTTTAAAAGGAGTTCTACTTTTCATAAGGAATTGTTACATTCTGGGCTATTCAGGAGTGTGCTATAAGAAAGAATTACACTTCCAGAGAAATGGAAGGATCTACATACACTCCTCTGGATATTACACGTCCTGCTCTAAATCAAACATATTTCTAAGGAAGAAAGGGAGGAAGGACAGAGTACCAGTTAATAGTGCAAAAAAAAAAAAGGCCATTGGGTGGGAAATAAGGTACTGCTCAGAATTTAATACTCAGTGCATATCATACTGACTGGGAGATATGAGATAAAAACCAATCACTAAATATTTTTTACACTTTCTGAAAGTCCATATGCATGCACACATACACTCACACACACCCCCATCCGCTACCCACCCACCCCCCACACACACACCAGCAGTAGCTGCAACAGCAACAGTACAGAAACATAAATGCAAAGTTTCCCACCTCTCTGGAAAGCTCACTGCTCTCATACATCTGCCTGATTTCTTCTCTGCTCAGCCCACCAATCATGTCTCCACTAGCAGAGCTGTAGAAGGGATGCTGAGGATAGGGTCCCTCATACTTCTCACATCCAGTCCTGTGACTTTTATACACAGGGTTGTACTTCACAGCATTCTCAATGGATGAGAGGCTGTCAGGCTGCCTGCTGAAGCCACTAAAAGAAAGATAAGATTGATTCAGCCTCCTGTTTGGATGCTCAACTATGTGGAAGACTATTTACCTGGGACAAGATTTCTCTTGGGGAAGAAAAATAGGTGCACTTTACACACATGGCAGGACGTAACTGTGAAAAATATCCAGATCAATCTCAAAAACTATTTGTCAGGTGTTATCATTATGATTTCCTCACATCCATGGCAAGTGCCCTGTGGACTTGCTCCATGTCGCATTCATCTTACTTGCCATAGCGCCTGGCATTCATAAATGTTGGGAACCATGTCTGCCAGTAGATGGTGCTTCATAAACTATAGCTTCATCATTCCCAGAGTTAAACACATTGAAAATCAGTGTGTAGCCACGCAGCAAATCTGACTGAAATATAAATATCAGGGTCTAGGGGAAGCAGGGCCTCAATTAAATTCAACTCAGGTCTACACATATTTACCGAGCATTGATGATGTGCGTAGGACTGTTCTACACACTGGTGATAAAAATAATCTGTTATCTCTGCCCTAGATGAGGTTACAGTCTAATGAAAAGTCAGATACAATAAAAAGTATAATAACAATGATGGAGGTATGTCCCAGGTGCTCCAGGACTTAGCCAAGTTGATGGTGAGGGAAGGTAAACTAGACCTCAAGCTGTAGCTCTTACAGACTTCAGACGCACAGAAGCGAAGTACAGTGTGTGATTATGATCCTCGAATCCTTAGTCTAGCAAATGGACCAGGTTTCATTTCCCCATCGATAAAGCAACACTTAACAAAACAGAGAATGAGATTTCATTTATTGACAGACCCTTGCCTAGATTTAAAATCTGGCTTATTACCACTAGCATGAGCCAAAGAGGAGCAAGTTGTAACAGATCTGGTCCTCCCTGAAGGGAAATTCACCTCTTCTATCTCATCTCCATCTTGCTTCTCTAAATTCTTTCTGGCCATGAAATAGGCATTCTGGCCACACGCAACCATGCCTTTCCTCCAATGAGCCTTGAAGTTCATGCGTGCCTCCCTGACTTTGCTCATGCTCATTCAACCAGCTAGAAAGCATCCCCCCCCAAAAGTAGCAAATGCCTACTCTTTCTCTCCAGCAAATTACCACAGCTATCATTAAAACTTTTAAGACTCTTTCCCCAGGCAAAACTTATTTATACCTCATCTAGGCTCCTTAGCATCTTATTCTTAGTGCTACTTCTGTTTTTCTTCAATTTGGCACCCCTTTGAGGACAAGAACCATGTGTTTATTAAAATTCATAGCTCTCTTCCACCCACCCAGCTCCTTGTCCAATATTTGGCACCTGGTAAGTACTAAATAAATGTGTGAATGGAACATTGTATTCCATTAGAGAGCTCTTTTCCTTATTTACCTGAAGGGCCTCTCTCTTTCGCTCCTGTCATGGTGTGCTTGAAGAGTCCTGATGAAGAAGTAGATGATAGCAGAAAAGATGACAAGAAGTCCAACCACAGAGGCAATAGTGATGCCTATGATCACAGGCTCAGACACAAATTCCTCACAGTGCTTGCCTCGGTACCACCAGTTCTCACCCACACGGCACCTGCAACCAACAGTCACCAAGTCCGATATCTGAATCACTCTGTTCACACTGACAATTAACAGCAGAACCTTCTGAGGGACTAGGGGAAAGTGGAGAAATAAATGCTGACCATGTGAAGCTTCATAAAGAGTTGAACAGACAGGTTAAAAGATCATACAATTTAAGGCAGTGCATAAAGCCCAGCACAGACCTAGTAGGTCCTCAATGACTGTTTGAAAAAAAAAACTGAATAAAAAGCTAAATAGGTTTAAGGAAAGTATTTTACTTAACATCCTTATTTATGGATAACCAAAAAACAAGCCTAGAAAGGAAAGTGACTGGCATTAGGCCATACAATTAGTCTGCTACAGAACTGGGTCTAAAATCCAGGCCTACAGACTCCCCATGTCCTTTCAGTACGCTAAAGATATCCTTCAAACCCTAAGGCCACGGGGAAAGGAAATCACTGCTTTTCTAGGTAATATTAATTTCTCTGGACATGAAGAGACTGTTTTTCTCCTTATAAACTTTATGCTTCTTCATGTAGAAGAGTCTGGATTATTTCTACTTATTTCCTGTTTCTGGCATCTATGCCAACGTTTGCTCATTTTGACCTTGCAAACGGTCCTCTATTTTGTGTTTCTCCTCCTTATTCTCAGCATCCTCTCCTCTTCAACCACGCAGTTTTGGTTGTGTGCGGTTAGAAAGTTGATTTGTTTGACTTTGTTTAAGGGGAGCGGGCAGATGACAGTCAGACTAACTGAACCTGCTCATCTTCTCATTGGTTCTACCTTTAGAAAATGGATCTCAGATGTACTTAAAGAAAAATATTTTTGTCACCACTTTGTAAACTTTAAATATTTGTTTTTCTTTATCTTTGAATGAATACTAAGTAGGAATAAGAGGTGCCCAAAACCTTTAAAAATATAATTCAAGTATAACAATAAAACTCATTTGCACATTCAGATATAGGGGAATGTGATCTTATGCCTAAACCTCATTTGAACACGTTGCCTTATTATCACCATTAAAAACTATAATACAAAGATCTCCATCTGCTCCAAGCACTCTCAGTAGGCCTTTTTTTTTTTTTTTTTTTTTTTTTTGAGACGGAGTTTCAATCTTGTTGCCCAGGCTGGAGTGCAGTGCAGTGGCACAATCTCAGCTCACTGCTACCTCTGCCTCCCAGGTTCAAGCGCTTCTTCTGCCTCAGCCTCCCAAGTAGCTGGGATTCCAGGTGCCTGCCACCACACCCAGCTAATTTTTGTATTTTTAGTAGAGATGGGGTTTCACCACGTTGGCCAGGATGGTCTCGATCTCCTGACCTCACGTGATCCACCCACCTCAGCCTCCCAAAGTGCTGGGATTACAGGCGTGAGCCACTGTATCTGGCCTGTAGGACATATTTAGACAATTTTTTTTTACAGTTCCCTAAGAGCATAAATTACCGATTTGAAATTCAGCCCTGTTAGACGACTCATCCTCACATGACAGTGAGATGGCTCCCATCTACTGCCTAGATATAACTTCTATAATGCATTCTATAATAAGTATCCTAAAATTATAGGTGCAGGCCCCTTTAGAGGAAATATCTATAGCCTCTAAAGCCAAAATCTGTAACTACAACATACCTACAAATGGCCCCGTGCCCAGGCATAATGTCACACTTTCCATCGTTCAGGCAGAAGTCAGGCTGTAGGTCACAGAGACTCTGACAGGGCCGTTCTTCCACACTCAGGTATCCAGGGAAGCATCTGCACTTTGCTTCTCCACTCCAGGGGTTGACCAGACACTCAGAAAATTCATTACAGGCCTGAAACTTGCAAGGGTTGGCTTCATCACCTAAAACATTAAACAAATAATAATGCAAGAAAATGCAAAACACAGAAATTCAGGTATACAAAGCCCCTCATCTAAAGTTCTCCCCCAAAGTATATGGGACAACCTCCTTCCAGAACCATTAAAGTATACCATCGCCACCAATACCACACACAAAAGTTCTCACTCATCCTAGATTGATAAGCTTTTGTCAAATTTTTGTGCAACCCAGAGCCCAATCATAAAACCCTATGACCTATCTAAGCCTTAACATGTTTTACCTAGGGAGCATTGTAGAAGCTTTACAAATCCATGCCATGTAATTGTAGATCTAAGTTAAACACAATAGTAATTGTAGATCTAAATTAAACACAGTTTTCATGGACCATTCATTTCCACCAACCCCTACCTGCTGCAGTTGACCTCCACTCTATATACACTGCTACACGCCTTGCACAACACTGAGAACAGGAATGGGGAGAGAGAGCTCAAAAGATAACTGGCAGGAGCCTCAGGGATTGGTATAGCCCAATAAGAGCAGCCTAGGAGCAGTCAAGATTTGTGAGAATCAACGTTAGGAAAATAAGTCAGCCCTGCACCTCCTAAGGCCATTTCCAACAAAATATTTTTGCCTTCAAACTTAATTTTTCATTGATAGGGTGAGGGAAAATGACTATTTTTAAAAACTAATTAGGATAGTAATCAGTCAAAAAAGACTTAAGACATTGACCATGAATGGACCTTCCATCCTGCCACAATTCCCTCATGTTCTTCACTGGTCAATGGTAATCTGTGAATGGTAAGTGGGCAAATGGTGACACAGACATTGAAAACAGGGGAAATAGGTGGAAATGATCCATAGACTCATCTGTATTAAAAAGTATAAAGTTTAGCTAGAAAGCTATAGGGAATAAAAAGAAATAGCATAGTCTCTCGGTTTCCAAAAATAATGGAAGGATCTATATACATCATGTTTTGAAAAGCAATGATTTCCTTGCTGCTCTGGAAATTGAAGACAATTTTGCACAAGTCTCTGCCCTTGGAGTTTGGAGGATCACTGAAGTTGATCTCCTTTGGCCTCATGTGGTAACAGAGGGAATGTACTGAGTTGAATAGTGTCCCCAGAAGTTCATGTCCATCCAGAACCTCAGAATGTGACCTTATTTGGAAATAGAGTATTTGTAGATGTAATCAAGTTAAGAAGAGGCCATACTAGATTAGAATGAGCCCTAATGCAATGATTGGTGTTCTTATAAGAAGAGGGAAATTTAGACACAGACAAAAACGCACAGGAAAGAAGCTATCTGTAGACAAAGGCAGAGATTAGAGTGATACACCTATAAGCTAAGGGATGCCAAGGATTGCTGGCAAACATCAGAAACCAGGAAAAGGTAAGGAAAGGGTCTTCCCTAGGTCTTTCAGAGGAAACAGGGCCTGGCCAACATTTTGATTTTGGACTTCTAGCCTCAAGAACTGTGTGAGAATAAATTCCTGTTGTTTTAAGGCACCTAGTTTGTGGTACTTTGTTACAGCAGCCCTAGGAAACTAATACAGGGGACCACTGCCAAGATGCTCACATAACAGGAAAAACATACAAATGTATTGACAGGTGGGAAATTTCTACAAGGGAACCACATGGCCAGATTTCACTGTATATTTCGTAAGTCTTCACATCTTTATCCTGGTATTCATTTTGTGACTTTGCAATCAGAAAATAATCTGATCCTTACCCATTGGTGAGGGATAGGAGTGTCTATAGGGGTGAGGAAGATGGTACTGCATAGCTCTCTTTTGTTAATGGAAGTTCAAGAGCTTCTGAGACACTGCATGTGAAAATAAGTTGGGCAAGAGTCAAGTCAATCTTGTCTCTAGCCAATCTTGAAAAAAAGTACTTTAATCTGAAGGCCTTTAACTAAAAACATAAGACTGAGTATCCCTTATCTAAAATTCTTGGAAGGAGAAGTCGTTTGGATTTCAAATTTTTTCAGATTTTGGAATATTTGCATTTACATAATGAGATATCTTGGGGAGGGAATCCAAGTCTACACAAAAAAAAACTCATTTATGCTTCACATATACCTTATACACATAGACTGAAGGTAATTTTTCACAACATTTTAAATAATTGTGTGCGTAAGACAAAGTTTGTATATACTGAACCACCAGAAAGCAAAGAGGTCACTGTTTCAGGCACCCATGTAGACAGTCTGTGGCTGTTCAGCATCACCATCACGCTGTGCGTGGAAAAACTGTATCACACTGCAAGGAATTGTGAGAGTCTTTTTTCCCCTGGGTCCTCTGAATAAACTGTTGTGCATCTGCGTTTTGACTTCAGCCCATCACATGAGGCCAAGTGAAGATATTTACCCTTGTAGCATCACGTCAGTGCTCAAAAAGTTTCAGACTGGAGCATTTCAGATTTCAGATTTTCATATTAGGAATGCTTAACCACTATACATGTAGTAAAATAATTCTATTAAAAATTTTTGAAACTTTGTAACCATTCTGCAGGTATATGTGTCTGAGGTGAGAAAAATAGAGTCTATATTTTCTACACATTAGGAAAAAGATATAGCCACAGGAAAAAGATAAAATATAGCTTTTTGCTTCCAGGCCAAGAAGAAAGACAAAGCCTAATATTTTAATCATGTAAATAAAAGATTGTGGTTTCAAAGTGTCTTTCCACTCCTTTGTGCTGGTGAAGAAAGGGTGCCCAGGTAGCTGACTATATGTTAGGAAAAGTGCCTCAGTGATTCTATTGGGGAAACAAAGGTAGAGTTGGAGGTAAATTTAGGATGGGAGACAGGGATCTAAATTGTGGAATTAATTACATTCTGGTTTTCTAGAAGCAGCTTAAAAGAAGGATAGATGGGTCCAGAAAAACGAAAGCAGAGGAAAGATGTGAAGATGGTCTGGAAAGACAGCTTTATGGCCTGAGCAACATCATTGCTGGCTGGGTCCTGGGAAAAAAAGTTGGTCAGTAAGAGATGCCCTTGAGAGGGTGGCAGAGGAATTTTAGGATGGCTATGCCTAACTAATATTTTTAGGCCATCTGCCGTGCTGAGATAAAGCCTTCTCCATTACCTTTATACCATCAGCAAATGCCTGATAGAATTAACTGCCTTATGTTAGAGATGCTTTGAGCAGATCAAAAACAGGACTGTGATTTGCATTAGGTTAACACCACAAGAGTTGGGACTCATGTGAGATTGAAAATTCAGCAGAGGAAACTCAGAACTGGGGAGGATTAAGAGACATTTAAGTTCCCTAACAATGCCCAGAAATATTGAGGAGTTAGGGGAACGTAGATCCTGGTTTTATACTGCACAGGGTGGGGCTAATGCCAGCTAATTGAATATTAAAAGTAAAGGCGAGCTTATAAACCTTGATGACATTGCACACAGCTGACATGTGAGTTACATACAAAACTGAAGTAAGGTGGTGGCTGCCAAGATGGCCAAATAGGAACAGCTCCAGTCCCAGAGAGATCAATGCAGAAGGTAGGTGATTTCTGCAATTCCAACTGAGGTACCCAGCTCATCTCATTGGGACTGATTAGACAGTGCATGCAGCCCACAGTGGGTGAGCCAAAGCAGGATGGTGTGGTCACCTCACCCGGAAGTGCAAGGGGTTGGGGAACTCCCTCCCCTAGCCAAGGGAAGCCATGAGGGACTGTGCCAGGAGGAACAGTGCATTCAGCCCAGATACTATGCTTTTCCCACTGTCTTCACAACCCGCAGACCAGGAAATTCCCTTGGGTGCCTATACCACCACGGCCCTGGGTTTCAAGCACAAAACTGGGTGGCCATTTGCACAGACACCAAGCTAGCTGCAGGAGTTTTTTATTTTTTATTTTTTGTTTTCATACCCCAGTGGCCAGCAAGACAGAACCATTTACTCCTCTGGAAAGGAGGCTGAAGCCAGGGAGCCAAGTAGTCTAGCTCAGCGAATCCCACCCCCATGGAGCCCAGCAAGCTAAGATCCACTGGTTTGAAATTCTTGCTGCCAGCACAGCAGCCTGAAGTCAACCTGGGGTGCTCGAGCTTGGTGCAGAGAGGGGCATCCACCATTACTGAGGCCTGAGTGGGTGGTTTTTCCCTCACAGTGTAAACAAAGCCGCCCGGAAGTTACAACTGGGCAGAGCCCACCACAGATCAGCAAAGCCTCTGTAGCCAGATTGTCTCTATAAATTTCTCCTCTATGGACAGGGCATCTCTGAAACAAAAGCAGCAGCCCCAGTTAGGGGCTTACAGATAAAACTCCCCTTTCCCTGGGACAGAGCACCTGGGGGAGGGGGCGGCTGTAGTGCAGTTTCAGCAGACTTAAACGTTCCTGCCTGCCAACTCTGAAGAGAGCAACCAATCTCCCAGCACAGCACTCAAGCTCTGCTAAGGGACAAATGCCTCCTCAAGTGGGTGTCTGACCCCCATGTCTCCTGACTGGGAGACACCTCCCAGCAGGAATTGACAAACACCTCATACAGGAGAGCTCTGGCTGGCATCTTGCGGGTACCCCTCTGGGACAAATCTTCCAGAGGAAGGAACAGGCAGCAATCTTTGCTGTTCTGCAGCCTCCGTTGGTGATACCCAGGCAAACAGTCTGGAGTGGACCTCCAGCAAGCTCCAGCAGACCTGCAGCAGAGGAACCTGACTGTTAGAAGGAAAACTAACAAACAGAAAGGAATAGCACCAACATCAACAAAAAGGACGTCCAGACACAGAAACTCCATGTGAAGGTCACCAACGTCAAAGACCAAAAGAAGATAAATCCACAAAGATGAGGAAAAACTAGCATGAAAAGGCTGAAAATTCCAAAAACCAGAATGCTTCTTCTCCCGTAAAGGATCCCAACTCCTTGCCAGCAAGGGAACAAAACTGGACGGAGAATGAGTCTAATGAAGTGACAGAAGTAGGCTTCAGAAGGTGGGTAATAACAAACTGCTGCAAGCTAAAGAAGCATGTTCTAACCCAATGCAAGGAAGCTAAGAACCTTGAAAAAAGGTTAGAGGAATTGCTAACTAGAATAACCAGTGTAGAGAAGAACATAAATGACCTGATGGAGCTGAAAAACACAGCATGAGAACTTTGTGAGGCATACACAAGTATCAACAGTGGAATCAATCAAGCAGAAGAAAGGATATCAGAGATTGAAGATCAACTTCATGAGATAAAGCATGAAGACAAGGTTAGAGAAAAAACAATGAAAAGGAAAAACAAAGGCTCCGAGAAATATGGGACTATGTGAAAAGACCAAACCTACATTTGATTGGTGTACCTGAAAGTGACGGGGAGAATGGAACCAAGTTAGAAAACACTCTTCAGGATATTATCCAGGAGAGCTTCCCCAACCTAGCAAGACAGGCCAACATTAAATTCAGGAAATACAGAGAATACCGCAAAGATACTCCTCGAGAAGAGTAATCCCAAGACACATAATTGTCAGATTCACCAACGTTGAAATGTAGGAAAAAATGTTAAGGGCAGTCAGAGAGAAAGGTCGGGTTACCCACAAAGGGAAACCCATCAGACTAACAGCGGATCTCTCTGCAGAAACCCTACAAGCCAGAAGAGAGTGGGGGCCAATATTCAACATTCTTAAAGAAAAGAATTTTCAACCCAGAATTTCATATCCAGCCAAACTAAACTTCATACGCAAAGGAGAAATGAAATCCTTTACAGAGGAGCAAATGCTGACAGATTTTATTACCATCAGGCCCGCCTTACAAGAGCTCCTGAAGGAAGCACTAAATATGGAAAGGAAAAACTGGTACCAGCCACTGCAAAACATACCATATTGTAAAGAACATCGACACTATGAAGAAACTGCATTTGCTAATGGGCAAAATAACCAGCTAGCATCATACTTGACAGGATGAAATTCATACATAACAATATTTACCTTAAATGTAAACAGGCTAAATGCCCCAATTAAAAGACACAGAGTGGCAAAATGGATAAAGAGACAAGACCCATCTCACGTGCAAAGACACACATAGGCTCAAAATAAAGGGATGGAGGAATATTTACCAAGCAAACACCAAACACCAAAAGCAATGGCAACAAAAGCTGAAATTGACAAATGGGATATAATTAAACTAAAGAGCTTCTGCACAGCAAAAGAAACTATCATCAGAGTGAACAGGCAATCTACAGAATGGGAAAACATTTTTGCAATCTATCCATCTGACAAAGGGCTAATATCCAGAATCTACAAGGAACTTAAACAAATGTACAAGAAAAACACAAACAACCCCATCAAAAAGTGGGCAAAGGATATGAACAGACACTTCTCAAAAGAAGACATTCATGCAGCCGACAAACATATGAAAAAAAGCTCATCATCACTGGTCATTAGAGAAATGCAAATCAAAACCACAATGAGATACCACCTCATGCCAGGTAGGATGTCGATCATTAAAAAGTCAGGAAACAACAGATGCTGGAGAGGATGTAGAGAAATAGGAATGCTTTTACACTCCCACTTTTGTTGGGAGTGTAAGTTATTTCAACCATTGTAGAAGACAGTGTGGCGATTCCTCAAGGATCTAGAAGTAGAAATACCATTTGACCCAGTGATCCCATTGCTGGGTATATACCCAAAGGATTATAAATCATTCTACTATAAAGACACATGCACACGTACGTTTATTGTGGCACTATTCACAATAGCAAAGACTTGGAACCAACCCAAATGCCCATTAATGATAGACTGCATAAAGAAAATGTGGCACATATACACCATGGAGTACTATGCAGCCATAAAAATGGATGAGTTCATGTCCTTTGCAGCGACATGGATGAAGCTGGAAACCATCATTCTCAGCAAACTAACGCAGGAATAGAAAACCAAATATTGCATGTTCTTACTCAGAACTGGGAGTTGAACAATGATAACATATGGACACAGGGAGGGAAATATCACACACAGGGGCCTGTCAGGGGTGGGGTGCTAGGTAAGGGATAGCATTAGGAGATATACCTAATGTAGATGACAGGTTGATAGGTGCAGCAAACCACCATGGCACGTGTATACCTATGTAACAAATCTGCATGTTCTATACATGCATCCCAGAACTTAAAGTATAATAATGATAAAAAAAAAAAAACTGAATTAAATGTATTTATTGTAATTCTCTTTATTTTTTATTTTTTTTAGAGACAGGTTCTCACTATGTTGCCCAGGCTAGAGTGTAGTTGTGTGATCACAGTTCATTGTAATCTCAACCTCCTAGGCTCCAGCAATCTTCCCACCTCAGTCTCCCAAGTAGCTGGAACTACAGGCACATGCCACAATGCCCAGCTAATTTTTAAGTTTTTTTGTGGAGATGGAGACTCACTATGTTGCTTAGGCTAGTCTCAAACTCATGGCCTCAAGCAATCCCTCTGCCTCAGCCTCCTAAAGTATTGGGATTATGAGTGTGAGCCACAGCACCAGGCCTGTAATTCTGTTTAAAAAGAAGTAGATTGACTTTTGCAAAAGTTTTATAAATCATAACTGTTCGCATTTGTGTAGTTAGTCAAATGCTTTATATATACTACTTGTTTAATGCTTAAAATAGTCTCATAAAATACAGAGGCCAGGCAATATTACCCCCATTTAATATATGAGGAACTAAGGGTCAGGGAAGCCCATCTTGGGTCACACAAATAATAAATGGTAAAGCAGAAGCAAGAAATCATTCCTTACAAATTATAATTAATTGCCTCTTCCACTATATCACATGACAAAGAATGTGCAAATGGCCTTAGAGAACTCAATTGGCAAGAGATTTGCATATGAAGGATTCATGAAACCATTTTCTTCACTTTCAACTTGAGTAATGATTCTTAAGTTCACTTCGTTCCTAAAGAATAGGGCTGACTTTCAAACCAGTTTGAGATTAAAAGGCACTGGAGAAATACAAAACCAGACGTTCCGTCTTACTCCTCAAAACCTCTGTCCTCTGGTATGTAGAAGGGAAGGAAGAACAAAAGTTCACATTTCAACAGTGTTCTCTGCATCCAAGGCTTCAAAATAAAAGCAATGATTCATTTCATTTATTCACAGTATTTTTGAGTACCTTCTGTGTTCAAGACACTATGCTAAGTTCTGGCTAAAAAGTAGTTAATAAAACAAACACATTCTCAGTTCTTGTAAAAAGCTCATCTGGAAAAAATAGCCATTAAGCAACTATGCACATCAATTAACATTGTTCCAATGATGATAACTCTCTAGAGGAAAGAACATTGTACTATTAATATAAAAACTGACAGGAAAGACTCAGTCTAGACCACAGGTAAGTCAATGAAAAAAGTCCTGAGGAAGTGACATTTGAACTGAGGCACATGGGTGAGCAGGAGTCAGTAAGAAGGCAAAAGTGGACAGTGTGTGCAAAGGCTTTAAGGCAAGAAGAAGGTTTTGTATCTGAGTAACAAAAAACAAGCTGGTTTGACTAGAACATGTTGAGCAGAGGTTAGTTACATTGGATATCGGGGAAGAAAATGGGGACAAGGCCTTGTGGCTACTGAACCAGACGGCCCTTCAAGAGTACCATGTCTGCCTTATGGAGGATGGATAGGAGGAGGAGCATGAGAGGATGTGGGGAAACTGGTCCAAAGGAGAGATCTTGGTGATTTGGATGGAGTCGTAGCAATGGAGATAGAGAAAAGAGCATGAATTTGAGATATTCTTAGAATTCAGAATCAATATAAGTTTGGTGAGTGACTAAAAGTTCCAGGTGTTAGGAACTGAGGTATCAAGGATGACTTCTCTGGCCAGGTGCGGTGGCTCACACCTGTAATCCCAGCACTTTGGGAGGCCGAGGCGGGTGGATCACCTGAGGTCAGGATTTCAAGACCAACCTAGCCAACATGGAGAAACCCCATCTCTACTAAAAATACAAGAAATGAGCCAGGCGTGGTGGCAGGCGCCTGTAATCTAAGCTACTTGGGAGGCTGAGGCAGGAGAATTGCTTGAGCTCAGGAGGCAGAGGTTGCAATGAGCCGAGGTCATGCCATTGCACTCCAGCCTGGGCAACAAGAGCGAAACGCCACCTCAAAGAAAAGAAAAGAAAAGAAAAGAAAAGAAAAGAAAAGAAAAGAAAAGAAATTTTTTCAGGTTTCCAGTTTAAGTAGCTGAGTAGATAAAGCTTACATTTATGGAAAGAGATAGAGAAGCTGAGAGAAAGAGTAGATATAGCTGGAGAGTGGTGAGATATGGAAAAGAAGAACTCACTCACAGCTATCTTAAATTTGATATACACAGAATACATCCAAGTGGAGACTGTCAAGTAAGTAGATATTGATTCTGGAGGTTATGAGAGATGTTTGATCTGCATAAAAAAATGTGGAGAGTTATTGACATTTATATAAGGCTTAAGACAATGGAAATGGATGCAAAAGCTTAAAGGGAAGAAGGATCAAACCTTGCAGGTGACAACACGAAGGCATAGCAAGAACAGATCCAGTAGGTAAATAAAAACAAAAGCCAGATGCAGTGGGTAGAAAAGGGAATGGAGGTGGAATAGTAAAGTAAAATGTTTGGAGGATGTTTTGAAAAGGGAGTGGTGTTGATGCTCTTGGGAGAAATATTTTACTAGTTATCAAGATGTGGAAGATTTGTCTGACATAGTACTCTTTTTTCCTACGAGTATTGGATTCACCTTAACGCAATGAGGAAGAAAACACACAAGAATAATCACGGGATTCTACTAAGAAACCACCATGCTAGGCAATATCATACCTGATTCCACATCAAGAGAGTATTTATCAATAGCCAAGTTCATGGTATTGTAGGCAGCGGTACAAAAATCTTCCAGAATCATGTACACCGCAGTGTTGACATTAGGAGGGACAGAATTGGCAAACTTCATTCGGCTGTTCACCACAATGCTGCCATTTCTGAAGTTGAGGATTTCTAAGTTCTGGAATCCCGTGAGATTTGACTGGAGATAAGGAACCAGCTACAACACACAAAAAGTGGTAAGTTTATTGACGGCGTTTCACATTTTGTTCAATACATACCCAAACAAAACAAAACAAAACAAAAACACAGGTAAGACCCTGCCTCACTTTTCCTAATTGTATTTTATCTACATTTAAACTGTTAATTAATAAAAGTATAAATTAGGAATGATTTGACAGTATAAACTAGAAATGCTATGCGATTTTCATAGTGATATTTAGGAATCCCATGGAATTCATACATAGTTTTAGACACTCAGAGAGTTTATTCTCTGTTTCACTGAAGGATCCCAACAGTGAAGGCGACATAGGTACCCACAAAACATTAGCTTCACAATAAAATGTGAAAAGAAGTGTCAAACTTATTGTAGTCCCATAATTCATGAAAACAATCTTCCTTGTAAATTATCACATCATTCTCATGCCACTTTTGTGTTTTCCATTTCTTACATGTCTTACTGTTTTCTTTCCAACCCTAGGCCATGATACTATTTGTGAATGATAGGAAATGAATGTTCACAGCAGATCACACTTTCCCTGGCTCAGACTTTGTGTGCTAGAGGGGAGGAGGAGTGGGTCATACACGATTATTCACTAGCGCCCATGTTTCACTTTTTGTGCTTACCAATTCTAAGAATCTTTGCTCCAGGGCTTTATACTCCAAAGAGTTCTTATTAAACAGATCTTCTGAAAACATCATGTTAGTCACTCGGAGGCTGAAGAAGACCACCAAAGCTCCTGAAGTCTGGGTATAACTCAAGTCATCTCCTCCTTCTGTGGGCCAAGCCACACTAACCATCTCTGTGGAGTGAACACTTGTAGACATTTCCACATAACTACCAACCTTGCCATTTTGCTCTTGGACTAGCTCAGGCTGATAGTAATCTGTGCCTATCCGGTCCAGTTCTAATGAAATATCCTGTACACCCATAATTACTTCATCCTCTAGCAGGGTGGAGATTGTGGTTGGAGGCAATTTGGTAGACTGTGTCACAGAAGCTTTCAACCAGAGTCTGTCAGTACTCTGTGGTGTACTTGCCAATGTGTCTCTGGACAATTTCTCTAGGGAAGAAGTTCTTGTCGAAACTCTCTCTGATTCTGGCAATATAGTCCACAAAGGTTGCATATCTGGCTTTACCATTGAAACCTCGCTGTCAAACCATTCATAGTTGGATGACTCGGTAGTTTGTTCCGTATCCTCCCTTAGGATGGCATCTGCCTGATCTGATATTTCAGTAGAGGCAGAGATTGCTACAGATGTCAGTATAAGAGGTGCTTTGGTAACTGAGTAATCATCAACACCAGGTACTTCTGATATGTGCTTGGGGAGGGTTAGAGATGCAGATTCAGTTGCAGTATCTGCGAAGATGGGCACAGCAGGCCCACTAAGAGGCTCTTCCTCTGGGAAGTGTGTGGATCTATCATCATGTTCATATTTTGAGTGCTTACTAATTTGGTCTGTGGAATCCATTTTGTCAACTAAAACTAGCTTCTCATCTTCAATCTCAGCTGGCAAAAGTGAATCGTCATCTTCAAGCCATGGCTTGGACAGCGGTTCAGTGCTCTTCTCTGATGAAGTCTCACTCCATGGCCAAGTAATTAGATCTACTTTTTGCCCTGATCCTGAACCTAAACCACTGTCAAGTATTAACTCTTTTTCCATGGATGCATCTGGCAGGAAAGGGCTCACTTTTAATTGATCTTTGACTTTGGAGGTCAAGGAGTCCAAGCCAAAAGGTATAGAAGAGGTTAGATACGGTGAAGATGTTAAGGACACATCAGAGTCTTCCATGGATGGTATTGTTTCTTTTGGCACAGGTTGAGTGAATGAACTTGAAGGCAATGAATCAATAGAAGGAAAATCTTCTGACTCTTCAACATTGGCTAATCCTAAAAATAAAGTTTTCCATTAATTAATCTACAGAGTTGCCAAAATATATTCCTAGTTCTTCTAGTTCTTCTAATAAAATTAGTTTCCTATTTTTTCCCTGTGAAGTTAACAGGGGCAATTGTTGACTTTTGTTTTTCTATATCTAGCAAACAAAAGGAAGATCTGATAACATGTTTGTAATATGGGACAGTCACTCATGAATATTATCTCCTTCTCGAGGATGACAAGACCTTGACTATTGAAATAATCTTCAAACGCTTGTTTTTTTTAATTCCATGAAAATAAAGAACTGCTAGTAGTAATTTTGATTTGAAAAAATCCAGCAGTCATTTAGGAGGAAAATTCCCTGAACATTGTGTTTCTCTTTGAATTCTCATTTTCCCTGTTATGTTTATTGTCTATTATCCTTCAGATTCACCCAATATTCACAATCCTGAATTCATTATTTATATATTTGCTCATCTTCCTCTTTTCACATGTAAACTCCATTTCTAAGTCACATTTATTTTTCCTCTCCTCCACAACATCTAGATCATCTATTTCATTTTCACTTCTTTATCTCTGCTGTGGCTGCCATGATTTAGTTTCTTCCCTTCACAATACTACTACAAGCAAGAATCTTTAGACTTGGCCCCCACAACTAATTGTATTATAACCCAGTTGAATAATCTTCTTTGATACTATTTATTACTCCAATATTTAAGTAAAGTGGTTATTTAATAGTAGTAGCAGTCATTTAACTAAACTATATACCCTTCGATATGACCTTCAAAATATCTGTTAATTGATCCCCACCCCAGTTCCCCAAGTTTATTTCTTATTATTTACCTATTTGGACTCTCCATTCCAACAAATTAAATTTGATTGTTTCCTCTCACAAACAATTTTACCAAGACATTTTACCCCTAATGAATACTACTATGTTTTTTTCATAGCCATAGTCTCTTCCTCTCTCTAAAAACCCTGTCATCAGATACAACAAGAAGTATGAAAAGCGATTAAAGTTTCTCACCATCTTCTACCAAGTGAGATCCAGAAGTCCTTTCCTCAGAAGCCACAGGCAAGCCAGTCTGAAGCACTGCCGGGGTGACAGAATGAAGAGTCAAGCTGCTAACCTCTAAAACCTCTGGGGAAGAACTGAGGCCCATCTTCGAGGGAAAGGCTAATTTGTGTGTAGACACTAAATCACCCAAAGGACTTTCTGACCAGAGTTCCCTGCCAGTGGCTGAGGGAGGACCAGAGCTGAAATCAAGTGGTGGAATACTGCTGGTGGTGGATTCATCTGCTGAGGGCCATGCAGCTTGAAAGGTATTATCCTGGGGGGAAAAAAAGGCTAAATCATATCATAGATAAAAGAAACATATAAAAAGTGATTTTAAATACCACCTATCTGTCTATATTCCCAGATTTTCTAGGGACAAGGAGGCAGTGTATTAATAGTATTGGGAGTAGGGGGAGACATGGGCTCCAGAATCAAACAGATTTATAGTCAAATTCCAATATCTAGAGAAAAACTATATCATCTCTCACCTGAAAAGGAAGGACAGATGAGGTAACATATTTTAAAGCCCTCAAACAAAATGAATTTATGAGAGAACATGTTTTTTTTTTTCTTTAGATGGTTCATTTTCCTCTGTGTTTTTAGCTTAAATGACTTTAAATACATAGAAGTTACTGTTATCTGTAACTTGTTGGCAAAGATCTAAGTCCATTGCCCACAGCAGGAAAGAACAACTGGCAATTTTATTCATCGTTCTGAAAAGATAATTAGTTAATGAAGGCCCTCTAGTTTGGTCAGAAATGTCACCACAACAAAATGTAGTCTGGTTACCTCAAATGAATAGCCACTCCTGTAAAATGGTATCACACTTATGAAACATAAACAATTTCCTCTTTCTAGTGATGTTTTACTAATGTACTACTAATCTTATCTTAAAATGTAGTTCAGAAATGGAGAAGTATACAGAAACACAAACCTTGAACATGTTAATTATTTAATTTTATGAAGAACTGTCTATGTAAATGTACAATAATCAGCCAGCCACAGTGGCTCACGTCTATAATCCCAGCACTTTGGGAAGCTGAACCAGGAGGATCGCTTGAGGCTAGGAGTCCAGTCCGGGTAATATAACAAGACCCCATCTCAACAACAACAAAAAATTAGCTTAGCCAGGCATGGTGGCACACACCTGGAGTTCTAGCTACTTGGGAGGCTGAGGGAGGAGGATCACTTGATCCTGGGAATTCAAGACTACCGTGAGCTTTGATCAACCCACTGCACTATAGCCTGGGCTATAGAGCAAGACGTCGTCTCAAAAAAAAAAAAAAGTTTAACAATACTGCTAAGAGGTAAAATGGCCACGGTATTTGGCAGGAGTTTATATAATTTATTCTGGATTCTGAATAACAAAGATAGAGAAGTACAATCCACATGGAAAAATCTCATAAAATATATCCTGGATATATGAAAACTGAAAAAGGAAAAGAGAAAAGAACAATCCTTTTCAGTCCTAAGAAGGTATTTGAGGTCGGGTGTGGTGGCTCACGCCTTTAATCCCAGCACTTTGGGAGGCCAAGGCAGGTGGATCACCTGAGGTTAGGAGTTCGAGGTCAGCCATGACCAACATGGAGAAACCCCATCTCTGCTAAAAATACAAAATTAGCTGGGTGTGGTGGCACATGCCTGTAATCCCAGCTACTTGTGAGGCTGAGGCAGGAGAATCACTTGAACCTGGGAGGCAGAGGTTGCGGTGAGCCAAGATTGCACCATTGCACTCCAGCCTAGACAATGAGAGCAAAACTCCGTCTCAAAAAAAAAAAATAAAAAGATATTTGAATCACATGGAAGCTTTTGAAAAACACCAATTCCCAGGACTGACACTCAGAAATGTTAACTTAATTGGTCTGGGAGGAGAACCTAGACATGGGTACTTGTAAAAGTTCTCTAGTAGAGGAAATGGCTGGATCATGTTCTGGGCATAATATTCCAGCCTGTGTTTCTAATATACTTCTTCAGTTGCTAAATGATTTTATTTCTTATCAACTGGAACCTTTAAGAAATTTCCCATATTTATAAGTCTATCAAAAGACTAGAATTCATGTTATACCTATGAACAAAACGAAAACTACGAATAAGAAATGCTGAATCTAACCTCCTCCCCCCACTCCAGGAGACTCCTATCAGCAATAGTAAATTTGCACTGACAGTCTCAACCCTAATATGCTTTTTGAACAAAGCACACAGTTTTAGGGTGGCTAACTAGAGTTCAGTCTATGGCCATGAAATAAAACAGAACATACTGGCCTATGAAGACAGCTAACCCAAAACAAGGTGATATGGTTTGACTGTGTCCCCACCCAAATCTCAAATTTCCACATGTTGTGGGAGGGACCTGGTGGGAGGTGATTGAATCATGGGGGCAGGTCTTTCCCATGCTGTTCTCGTGATAGTGAATAAGTCTCATGAGATATGATGGTTTTTATAAAGGGGATTTTCCCTGCACAAGCTCTCGGCTCTTGTCCACCACCATGTGACATGCGCCTTTCACCTTCTGCCGTAATTGTGAGGCCTCCTGAGCCACGTGGAGCTGTAAGTCCATTAAACCTCTTTCTTTTGTAAATTGCCCAGTCTCAGGTATGTCTTTATCAGCAGTGTGAAAACAGACTATTACACAAGGCCTAATTAGTCTTTTATGCTTTGTCTTCACAGTGCCCCTTGTCTCTCTGTCAAAGAGCTGTGTGAGAAGGCTTTGAACTATACACTCTCACAGTCACAGATGGGGGACCATGAGGCAAGAAACCACCAGGCGTGTCCTACTTTGTCCCTTCCCCTAGTGACAAATGCACAGGAAAGATGGTAATAACAGAAGGTCATTGGTTCTATAGAGAGTTACCCACAGTTTCATCTACCATCTTTAAACTAAAAGCACTCTGTCAAACAATCTAATTTTCTTTTGTGGAACTCAGTTACAACATCACTTCCTGCCTTGTCCATGTGTTTTCATTGGTTCCTATTTTAAGTGGGTCACCATGCTGATTCTTCTGTATTTGTCACCACCACTTCAGATCCTTCTCTTCCTGCCCTCTGCCCTAGGAAGCTGACCCTGTGATCTGCACCACCCTTGCAAATGCTGCCTTGCATTTGTTTTCTATTTCAGTTTGGCCAACGGGAAGCATAAGCAGATCAAAGGACAGGGGGAAGAGAGGTCAAGGTATGTCTTCCCTGCTTCCTCCAAGCCTCAATACTATGTGTCTAGCATAGTTGTGCTTCTCCCTCCACAATTACAGCTCCAGCTGTCCATGGGCTCTGGTAACAGCATTTCCTCCCCTTCCTCTGTAATCCAGTGGATGGTAGTGGTAATTGCTTCCCACTGTTGTTAGTCTCTGCATACCTCAACATTCTTTTTATGCTCCCTTAAGCCTATCCACATCTCCATTAGTAGATTCTTCTAGATGATTCTGTTACTGCTGAGACCCTGGATGAGTGATATTATGCAAAGGTGCCATCGTTTTATAATATACTTCATTTAAAAATCCATTAAAGTTTAAGTCATTTCTGTCAAAAAGTGTTAGACAATCCAAAATGAAATATAAATGCCCAGCAAATAAGGAATGAGAATCACTTAAAACAACAACATGAACCAAAAATGATATCATTCTGGCTAAATATAAATTTAGCCAGAAAATAAAAATCTGGAAAGGAAAAAGGAGAGTGATAAAAAGTATATGATGCAATGTTAGCCAACATTTTTGGCAATGTAGCTTTGGCTAAAAAAAAAAAAAAGAAAAGAAATAGAAGCAAGATATATCTAGGAATTAGACTGGAGTCTAATAACCAAATCTCCTGAATCTGTTGAAGTGAAATGTATGAGAGAAAAAGCAAAACATCTGTAAAGAAAGAGGAAGCCAGAGGCCATCATCAAATGACTAGATACAATTGCAAAACAACCTATAGAGAAAGAGAAAGATCTCAGGACACAAAATTCCCTCTTGGGGAATCTCCTAACAGAAGTGCACCTGAGGATAAGAAGACATGTTTCATGATTCAGGACAAAAAAAAAGAAAAAGAAGATCTAATTGGAGAGATGACTTCTGGCATTTTTCTAGTAAACTTTAAGAGCATGCAAGTCTGGGCAACAGAGTAAAACTCTGTCTCTACAAAAAACATAAAAAAATAACTGGGTGCCTTGGTGCACTCCTATATTACATTCCTATAGTACTCTGGAGGCTGAAGCAGAAGGATCACTTGAACCCAAGGAGTTTGAGGCTTCAGTGAGCTATGATCACACCACTGCACTCCAGCCGGGGTGACAGAGCAATACACTATCTCAGAAAACACCATGCAATTACCAGGAGTAGAGTTAACCTTACATTACTCTATTCAGTAGAGGTGGCTTACAATTGCTGACCTGTGTGCAGAGTGCTCCTACATAACTTACCACCAAAGAGAATAAAGCTGGTTCATATTTCTGCCTAGAGGGTCTAAGTTATTCTGAGTCCTCACGAACAGAGATAGAGCAAGAGTTTATTTCCAGAGAAATGAAAGACAACAAATTAAAGTCCAGAAAGTGAAAGGCAAAAAAGTTAAGTAAAAACACCAGCTCTTGTCTTGCCAAAGGCTCGTGTGCTTTATGAGGCCATCCTTTGGCTTGTAAAAATCTTATGTTGGGAAGAGGGGCTGAGCATGCACATGTATGTGAACATAACAAAATTATCACATTTTACACTTAGAAGGACTCAAGAACACATGTAGTATAACCATGCCTATTAAAGAGAGGGAACTGAGGATCATAGAAGTGAAATGCTCAAGGACACACAAAAAAAGAGAAAAAAAAAACAGACTGGAAGCAGCCAAGTCTCTAGATTTCTCAGTGCCAGTGCTTTTCCCACTAACAGCTATTCATCCAGAGGTCTCTACAAGTGTATATTCCCAAGTGGTAAAAGGATTCTCAGAGGAGAAACTAGAGCAAACAGACTTGGCAGTCCATGTGCTCATTTGGGTTAACATATTCCACAGGTTTATACAACCCAGGTCAACACAGATGGAGGGAGTGTGGGCAGCCATCTCCTAATATTTATCTGCTCTATGGGATATGGAGGCTGTTTACATAGAAAAAAAGTTTCTAGCCTTCCCCTTTATTTTTCTAGGACTGAAAATTACATTTGTAGTCAGGGAAAAGAAGGCCATTTGCTCAATACCAAGTTCTGTTCTTCAATAAAGTAGTTACAATGATGATGATCATTCCATAAGAGGGAATTAACTTTATTCCTTTTAATTATATAAAACTACTTCCAGATATGTGTTAAAGTTACTCATATATTCTTGCAAATTCCAAATGTACTTTACAAAAAAACTCAAGTGAGATAGCTTAAGCCCTTCAAGCCATGCTTAAGAAATTGAGTTTTATCAGATGGCGCGCATAACCTGACACACCTTAGGAAAGCAGCTGAATCCTCAACGAAAAAGAAATCCTCAAGCAGTAATATACCGTTTCAGGGTATCTGTAAACAAAATGCCTTTTCACTTCATAAAAAATTAAAAGTGAAACAATATATAAAATCTTTTCAAAAGTCAAGTCACAGACAACATAAAATGTGAAAGTAAACAACTTGACTTTTCAAATAAAGAAGAGAGACCATCCCTTCCAAATAAGTATTCCCTAAAAACTGGCATGGCAATGAAGCTTTCTTATACATTTTGAAAAGTTAACACATACATGCCAGGAATAGCCCTTCATTAATTTTTCTATCCATAGATGTTCCCATAGTAACAAATTTAACTTATGTTTTCTTTCAGTTCAGTGTAGTATATTGACAACTGTATTATATTGGCCAGTTTCATTTCTGCTACTGCCAATTGAAAAGCTTGTTAGTCCTAAAGAAAGCACACTGTACAAGTGATTTTCCAAGTCAGGGTGCCAGAAAGGTGTCAAATTCCATTTCCCAACATTCCTAGCTCTAAAATAACATTTTTTTTTACTCTTTGAATAAAGCCTTTATTACTAATAATAAAAACAATAAAATGATTAGTAATATAATTATTGCAGCACTGTATATAAAATAATTTTTTAAAATAAAATCTAGGGGGGGAACCCACCTCACTTCTATGGTAGAGTAAAATCTTGCTAACAGTTGGCAAGGGTGTGAAGAAAGGGAGGGAAGGAATAAATTAAAAAGAAAGTAATAACTAGACATTTCTAATTAATCATTCCTTGTTTTCATGTCTTATCATCTCCTATTAACATTCTAATGTTTCCTTAAATTGTTAATGAATGCCCTACAGTAATCACTATTCAAAAAAGTAATGAGTTGGCATAAATGCAAATGAAAGCACTGCAACATAAATGAACAAGTGAGCCTACTGGTGCTTGCTATCATTAAGGGGCAGCCACAGCCAAGCTCCAGCCACTTTCTGCCACAAGGGAATATGAACTTAACAGTAGCAGATCTTCCTGGTATTCAAAAGCAGCCAGAAATCTGCATTTTTATGTAAAAATCTCCTAGTTTTAAAATATTGACTTATTTTTTTTTAATTTGATCCCAAGCTGCATGTCTATAGTTGGATCCAGCTAGTCTCCAGTTTACATGCTCTGGCTTATATAGAAATTCTCATCTTCACAATATAATTCTAAAATATCATCACAAAGCTTCTCCTGTGGTTAGAGAATGTAATTAAAAGCGGGAGAGTCGTGGTGCTGTCATCGCTCCCTGTACCCTGGATCGACCTCTAGGACAATGTCTGCATCACCTTGTTTAGAAATCTGTCTACTACCACCAGACTAGAAATTTTTGTAGGCAGAGCCACACCTTATTTGTCTTAGTTTCACAAGCGCTTGGCACATAGAAAGCACAAAACAAACATACTTGAATGAATGAATAAGTGAAGGAATAAATACACACCAAATGAATGTACTCTCTGTAAATCTCTTCTAATCTATTTTGTCCAATATGTAACTCAGTGAAAAGATTGTTTTTAGTAATTCTACATTGTAATAATGAGTTACTCTGTAACCTACTAGAAGAAATGGCTGCAGAGATTAATGGTTACATGAATTAAGGGCAGGCTTTCTGAATTTCCATCGCTCCATTAAAGTCGAGAAACAAGTAATTCAAATAGCTGATATGAGACAGAAAATAAATTTTCAGAGGGAAGAAAAGCAAGGAATGTCGATGAGAAGGGAGTCCCCTTACTGTTTCTATGTGATAACAAAAGATTCCTGTATTCATTGTAGACAGGTAATTCTGTAGTGGTTTGTGGTTGTAGATGTTATCATTGTTGTTTAAACTATGCTGTTTCTTTCCTACTGTATAACTCCCTACAAGTGAAGTACACACACTGTTCTATGTGCTTCACAGTGTAACCTTTTTTTCACTATAATCATTGAAACAAAAAATCTACGCTCTATACCTAGTACATCAATTTATCATCTTGGCTATAAAATCTACTTCTGGGTAACTCTCAGAGAACAACTCAGCGGGCACTTAATAGCTTAATTATCACCGAACAAGTAGGAACCATAAATAAGTTTTCTACCCTGTGTGGAGTTTGGCAATGCAGACTTTATTTCACCACTGCAGAAGGCTTAAATTTTCTGAACCAACACTTGGTACCTATGAGCTGACACCTATGAGTAATGGTCTAGGGATGATGCAAGAGAATAATTGAAATGAGAACAGCTTGGGAAATGTATAATGCCAAAGTAAGCAGGTGAGGGAAGAAAGAAGAGAAGCTTGAGGGCCTAGTTCTAGCATAAAATATAAAAACATACCAGAATAGATGATGGCGTTGCCTGAAGACTTGAACTTTGGGTGTTCCAAACTAGATCTTCAGTTTGGTGACGCAAAACTCCTCTCACTGAGGAAAGAACAACATTAGAGAACATTTTTAGTTGAGGCCGTACTGTATTTGAGGTGCAGGGACAACTGAAAGCCAAGTTCTTCCTCTTCATAGTTTAGATTTTAGCAGAACATACGGGACACACTTACTTAGAAAATATTTATTACTTTATTCAGATATTTTATTTATATTAGCACAATCTGCCTGAATTATAAGAATCTAACATAAAATAAAGATTCTTCCCATTATTACATTTAGGACATCCTCTATTACTTCCTTTCCTTTCTCAAGTCAGTTTTTATTCTGTTCAAGATTCCTATGAAGCGCTTATTTTTAAATTAATTTTTAAGTAAAAAAAGTTGTACTAAATTTCAATTCATTTGGTTTATGCTAAGAATGGTAGAAAAGTATGCAAACATAATTGCCTTTTGGGAAGAAAGTACCTTTGAAAACTGAGCTAGGACACCAAAAATCTTTATCACTGTAATGATATTAAAGAGAAACATAGAGAGTAGATTATATAATTTAATTCAACAAAAATTTAATGAATCCTTGCTAGTTACCACAGACTTTACCAAAGTTGAGGCTATAAACATTAATAAAGCCAAGTTTCTCTTCTGGAAGCATTGCATATATCAGGGAAATAAACACAAATTCTAAAACAATGTAAGGGGCATATATACAATGTATGGTGACACAGACAAAGAAGCAGCTGATTTTGCCCACAGGGGAGAGAAAATCAATAAAAGCTAAAAAGAAGGGATTGCCAGGAGAGTGATCTGGTGTATGCAACCAAAAATAGAAGTAGAGTCTCTTTATCCACCTGTTCTCACTGGCCTGACATAACAGGAATCAAGCAAAGGTCAAAAACCCTATTTGGCTTACATATTTTCCAAAATTTTTAAAAACTGTGTATACAATTATCTTGTCTTCTATGAAAAGTAAGCTCCACAAGATCAAGAAGTGATATGGTTTGCCTCTATGTCCCCACCCAAATCTCATGCTGAGTTGCGATCCCAAGTGCTGGAAGTGGGGCCTGGTGGAAGGTGATTGGATCATGGGGGCAGATTTCCTCTTTGCTGTTCTCGTGATAGTAAGTGAGTCCTGATGAGATCTAGTTGTTTAAAAGTGTGTGGCACTTCTCTCTCTCCCTCTCTCTCTCTCTCTCTCTCTCTGTCTCTTCCCCTGCCTCCCTTCTGCTCCACCATGGCAAGACGTGCTTGCTTGCCCTTCACCTCTTCACCTTCTGCCATGATTTTAAGTTTCCTGAGGCCTTCCGGCCATGCTTCCTGTACAGCCTGTGGAACTGTAAGTCAATTAAACCTCTTTTCTTCATAAATTACCCAGCCTCAGGTTCTTTACAGCAGTGTGAGAATGGACTAATACAAGGAGGATCATATCTTTTGAGATAATGATCAAGTTACATAGAAAGCTGCCACCATTCAGAACTCTGAAGTTGGCCTGACAATAGAAATAAACTTTAGAGACAAACTTCTGAGTAATTGAAATATACATCTAATGAAAGCCTAAGGCACTTGAATTAGTTGGTATTAGATATTGTAAAGCTTTTGTTGAACTTGCTTACAAATTCTAAGAAAGTCGTTTACCTCTTTTCAGGACACCTTTATGAAAGTAGTTCCACCCACAGGCTCCACACAAAAGGAAGACCTTGCAATACTGTTTGTGGATGTCGTTTCCTAAGCAACCTCTGTTTATTGTAGACCTTAATCTTCATGCCATTCTCCTACCACTCCAGTTACTGACCTTGGTGTTTGCACCTTCTGCTCAATGTCAGTTCTTAACCCACTTAGGTCATGATCTCCTAACTATATCTTTTCTCTGTCTGATCCCAATATCCTGATGCCTAGAATCTTCTGCCCATATGCCGTCCCTATGGTTAGCCCCAGCTAATCTCTATTAGCATTGCCAGAGGGACTTCAGCAGTTTCAGATTATAACAAGCTTCTTATCTGTTCACTGTTTTATCTAGCCCTAGTATTCCAGCAGAGATTCAACAATGACAAAGGAGTATATGAAGAAGTGAGCGCAGGATACCTACTCCAAAATATAAAGGCTCCCTAATGTTTCAAAATGAATGGTCCTATACCACTCTCCTCCACTGAAGAGAGTGCTTCTCCATGTTAAAGTCCTATGTAATTCATATAAAGCCCAGACCACTTTGTGACCCTGTCCCAGCAGAGTGTCACATTAAAAAAAAAGGTTAGTCCAGCAGCCAAAATAAGTTGAAAGCAATGTAAAGTTTTGGTCTGGAAAAAAGAAAGAAAGAAAAGAGAAGAAAAGAAAAGAAAAGAAAGAAAGAGAGAGAGAAAGACAGAGGCAGAGACAAAATCTTATTTGGGAAAAAAGAGATTAAATCACATGCAGTAAAATCTTATTAAAAATTTTTTCTCTCCCTTTCCCTTTCTCACTTTCTCTGTCTCTTTCACACACACATATATACACAAATACACACACACACACACACACACACACACACACACACACACAACTGCCTGGAAAGACAAGACTCTTCTTTAGAGTTCTAAGAGTTCTCCTTCCCTACCTTGCCTTTTAAATCTACTATTTTCTTTGATTATTAATTTTCTGATCTTCCTGTGTAAATCCAACAAGCCTCTCTGGCTTCTCTAGTGTCTATTTTTGTTCATTTGTTACACACACACATGCACGCGCACACACACACACGCACACACACACACGCACACACACACGAACACGGCTAGGTAGTAGCTGCCTGAAAGGACAGGACAGAGGCTCTTTTCTCTTTAAAATGTGTGGCAGCTACAGAGGCTGTAAAAATGCATCATTAGTATTGCCTCACTTGTAGATTCTCCTCCTCGGCAGCTGGTATTTCTCCCATGCTGTCACTTCAGTAATGCATATTCCACTGAACATTTTAAAAGCTAAACTACCAATGAGTAAAGAAATCATGGAGAATAGAAGCAAATGCAAAGTAGCAAGTGAGTTAGCAGGATACCGTGGCCCTGATGAGTTAAGATGCTGCATACTAGTAGCCAGAATCTTAGCAAGTTTTAAGTCCAAGGTTGACTGGGCACCCTGTAGCCTCCAAATCCAGGTTAAACACCCTCTTCTTCACGATCTGTCATATCCACCTGTTCATTATGGATCATAACAGGATCTCCACAGCGATCCGAATTTAAAGTCAGTATTGGATTATCCGGGATTCCGCACGGCACCCATTATCACTTCTTCTTTGACCTAGATCTCCCATTGCCTTTCTTGAGCTCTTCCTTTTTTTCTACACTCTGATTTTTAAGCCTTTACTAGCTGACTTACCTCAGAGAGTTCATGTCTCAGTTGTCAGGGAAGCATTATAGCCTGTTTCAGTACATACTACCAAGTACTACTTTCCTTTTTCTTATACTTTGCTCCTATTTCTCTAAACTATTTCTAACTGCCACTTTCCACACTCTGTGGCCTTTTGTCTAAAAATATTCCAGAAAGCCCCTGATTAATCTATCCAAAAGAGCTGCACGGCTAAAGCTCCATTCATATCAGGTTGACTCCTGTCTCATAAAGTCTAGAGAATGGTCAGAACCTTATATATTTTGGGAAATTAGTTTACACCAGAGCGTACTGGAAAAGAAACTATACAAGGACTTCATGATGGATATGAAACTCACCATTGATAAGCTGCAGGGAATCAGGATCTGGATTCAAGGAAGAGTTCCCCAGCAAAAAATTCTGCTGCAATGTCTCAGCAATATAATCTCTGAAGTTACTGATTGTATAAACAACAGTGGGTTTATCGTCCAGTTCCACAAGGCCATGGTTTTCCACCTTGTTGGAGTGAAGGCTGATGAGGTCCCAGGTGGTATTGCTAATGGCCTCACCGTTGAAGGTAACTGCATAGTAAACATCTACGCCACTATGGATGGAAAGAGAGAACAGATTAGGTTCAGCTAAGGAAGCACAAAGAAAGGAGCATTGAAGCCATGAAGAAACAAATATTGGACCCAGAGCGGGAGTCTCAAAGAGCATGGATTCCATCACTTTTCTCTGAAAACCCTGGACAACCTTTTGCCATCCTCTCCTCCTTCCCAGAGAATGAGGGGTCATAGCTCTAAGAATAGGGAAAAGAATTGTAAGGAGGCCACAGAGGCAACCCTACAGAATGATCTGAGCATCTTCTTCCCCTACGTTCTCACTTCTTTCCTCTTTCAAAGGCAAGTCCTCCGTCTTCACTGTCAACCTACTTCTTCTTTTCCTATTAGCATGTCCCCCCCTGCCTTTTTAAAAACAGTCTTTCTAATTCCTCTTGACAGTGCAAAATCCTCTCACATCACTTCATTGTTGTTGTTAGATGAATTATGTACTGAAACATAGTTATCTATTGTGGCAGGAAAATTATGAAAAACTTGGTACTAAAGCAAATTGATGATTATTTTCCTTTAAAATGTTGTGCTGGAGTATTTTCTAATATGACAATTCTTTCAGAAGACATACTTTGGTTTGATAACCCAGACAATTTACAGTTCTATAAAGTTTAAGACTAAATTGTAAAAACTATTATGAAGTAATTTTTTTCTTGGCCTAGTAGGAAAAAAATCTCTAAAGTTATATTTTACTACCCTCCAGGGCATTAACCAATTTTGTATGCAACTTAGTAATCTGTTCCGAATTGACTATATGAATTTCTCTTTTTCAGATACTCTAGAAACAAGCTCTCTCTCTCTCTCTCTCTCTCTCTTTTTAAAGCTAACTCCCTTATTAGTGAATTATGTAAAACTTCAACAAGTACTAACAAACAGCACTTGTCTGGGAATTAGGCTTTTTCACCATCAACCTTTCCACAACCAAACAAAGAGGAGACTTTTTGGAACACAGGACAGAACGACAGAAAATAAATAAGTATGAGTTCATGTGTTGACATTTTCTTAACTAGTCTTTTGGAGAAATAACATCAGAACATAAAATTTTAAACCAAATAAAAATACTCCTCTAGACTCCAACTCAGATTTCTCTAACTAAAAGCTAACAGTTTGTAAGTGCTGATAATGCGACAGGTATTTTACATGCTTTATCTCATTTAATTTTCATAATAACCTGATGAAAGATATTTTAGCTTCAGAATATTGTTAAGGAAACAAGCCCTTAGAGCAGTTAAAAGACTTCCTTTAGATTTCATAACATGTAATATGTGGCAGAGTCATAATTTCAACACAGATCTGTCCAACTCCAGCCCCTACATTCTGAACTACTATGCTACCCTCTCAGTAGCTTTAATTAAACTATTACCCAAAAAAGTAATTATGAGGACAGCTCAATACCAGTCATCACTGTGGCTTCCAGCCAGTCTCTGCAGCACATCCATCATAGGCAGTAAGTACCCAGCAAGCCACACCGAGATCCCTCCAGAGGAAAGGACAACACTACCTTCCAAGAGACAAACCACTCAAGGCAGACATGCAGTAAAAGCAATTTGCCACTTTCAGACATTCCACAGCAGCAAACTAGTCTCAAAACAAAGCATAAAAATAAAAAACGAAAAATTGAATAAAATTTAAACTAACGTGCTTCTTCCTCTGAACTTATATATCCTCACGTATTTCTTTATTTTAGCCTTCATTGCTTTGTGCAAAGATTTTGTTCACAGTGACGGCGTCTCAGTCTCTCCTTGAGTTTCTATCCCCAGTGCTCAGTTTGGTGCCTAGCACAGAGAGGTACCCAGTGCCTACTAGACGAACAGAAATATATACTTGCCTGAATGTAAAAAGAAACCTGCAGCATAATCAAGGTATTTACAGATCTAAAGGAAAGTACCAACATAATAAGGATGACATCATAGAGTATAGGAAAAAAGAAATTAGTCAGCTCATTGATGTTACTAGTTAGTGGAAAGCTTCTGACCAGTATGTTGGGAGTTCCTTGGGAAATAGATCCCTAGGTTGGAAATGGCTACAATAAGCTATCATGGCTAGATGATACTGGCTGCTGAGATCATCCAACTTTCACTTTTTGATTTCAAGCTTGTAAAAGAAACTTTTGATTATAACTCCCTACAAATTTTCCTATGAGGAAAGAATGCATGAGCCAGTCAATGCTATAATAATTGATTGGTCTGTTGGCACATATATTTCTCATTTTTAAATAGATCAATAGGCATCCTAGAGACTTCATTGTCTTTTATGGTTTGGTAAGCATGACTGGCCTCAAGAGACTTCTCCTTCCTGGGAGCTCTGGTCTGGACCTGGCCTGGCCTATGCAGCACAGATCACACACCCTGGACTGCAGGGAAAGCCATAAAGGTGACACTCCCACCTGCCATACAAGCAAGCAGCCGGGCCTCTTTGATGTTCCTGTCTTATTCTGAGTGACGTCAATACTGTTTTCTTCCCAGATATGATAGGATACCTCTTCTAATGCAGTGGTTCAGGGCTCTTAAAAGTAATAACTGAGCACTTTGACACCCTGATGCTCTAAGTAGTAAAAACATCTGCTTGTCTCTAGAACTTCCCTCAATCCTCTAAGCAATGAAAGTATTTCAATTTTGCACATCTGAGAATGTTGATTCATAGGTAATTCCCAATATTATTTATAAAGAAATCAAAACAGTAAAATATGCTAAAATATCAAATGATGGTTACAAGATAGAATCAAACAATAAGAGGGTCACCTACTGATCAGAACTCATCACACCATATTCCCCCTTGCTCTTGATGAGCCTTCAGTCATTCTGATAGACTCGCAGACCATAGGCACCTGCTCTGTTTCTGGTCTTTTCCTTCTCTCTGCAATGCCTCTTATTACCTCCCAGCCCTTATATCTTCCACATACACATGTACACACACATATAGATACCTTCTTCACCTGGCTATTTCTTTTTTACTTCAGCTTAGCTGTCATCTCCCAGGGAAACTTCTTTTTAACATGAAGACGTGATTGGTGCTCATGTTCTATCTCCCCAACAACTTTATAAGCACAATTATTTTTTGGCTCTATGTCCCCACCATCTAGCACAATGCCTGGCTCATAGTAGTTCAATATAGGCTTGTGAAAATAATGAAGAAACAAATGGTCAATTTTGTTCCCTAACGTAGGCAGATAAGACAATTGAATGTATGCCACTTAAACAACGGTACATGATATGCCTGACTTAATCTGAAGCATTTTCAGACTCTAAATATAACAGAGCAATTTTTAACCCTAAAGAACATTCATATTAGCTTCATATATTTGCATCTTCTGGTTAATAATTTTAGAGACATTGTTTCCTGGCCACAGCCCAGCTCTGTAAGGATGTGCATGCTCTTCCAAGTCTTAGAGTGATGGACCATATCGACCTCTCCAGAAAGGTGGGTTTCTTTTTGGGATTTTTGCACAACCTATTAAACTTACTTCTAGCGTAAATATGATTCTAAGATGAAAAAAAAAACTATAAGAAAAAAAGAAAAAGAGGGCGGAAGAAAGGTTATGTCAGTTAGCACTTCAGTTGGTTCTTAGGTTATGCAGAAAATCAGACAAGGAGAGTTAGGCATTTACTGGGAACCTACCATGTGCCTTGCATGACTTTTCAAATGATAGGGAAAAGATCAAGAGAAATGTTCCTGGATCAAGAAATGTATGCAAATCAGGCAGCCTGGAATAGATTACTGGTGTTACTCTTTATTGGCAAAATATTATTTGCCTCCCAATGTTTCCATTGGACATCTAAATATAATACTTCTATTATAATCTACCTTGTCTAGTACAGATAAGTTCATTAAAGAAGATAAAATGCCTCAGAGAGATGTTATAATTTGTTACCATGTTTTTGTCCTGGAAAGAGAACTCAAATAAGTGCTTGAGATACCAGAAAACCATCTATTTTGAGGGCCAAGAACATCACTGTGACCCAGAACAGACTGAGTTCTGGCATGGTAATGGAGTACAAAGATATCTCAGGATGACGGACAGAATAAAAGAAAACAGAGAGGCCAAGGAAATTCATGAGAAGCAGAATACATACTGGCAGATCAAATAGTATCTGATTGAAGAAAGCTGTGCTGGCTCTCCATACTTAGCAACTCCAAGTTAACTAACCACCACTGGATCATCATCTTTCATCTTTTGAACTGGACTCAGGCAGCCGCTATACAGAGGAGAGTTTCTGTGTCTGACAGCTATTTCCAAAGACATCAATCATGTGGAGGTGAAATTTACCCTTTCTTATTCTCTCCCCTCAGATGCCCTGATTGGCTGTTTGATGCATATATATTTTAAAATTTAAAAATAGTGCTATCACATTTCATCGAGATCAACCAAAATAAGGATGTTTTGGAGAAACTCAGATATCTCTTCTTTAATAACTTCTTCTAGGAAGAAGATACATATTGAAAAGACCTGAAGCTAAATACATAAATTGGGTGTACCAGATAGATATATTGTTGATTCACTTCAAATACATACTACTAAATTAACTAATGAGGACATATTTCCAAAGACATCAATCATGTGGAGGTGAAGTTTACTCTTTCTTATTCTCTCCCCTCAGATGCCCTGATTGGTTGGTTGATGCATATATATTTTAAAAATTAAAAATAGTGCTATCATATTTCACCAAGGTCAACCAAAATAAGGATATTTTGGAGAAACTCAGACATCTCTTCTTTTGTAGTTTCTTCTAGGAAGTAGATACATATTGAAAAAGCCTGAAGCTAAATATATAAATTGAGTATACCAGATGGATATGTTGTTGATTCACTTCAAATGCATACTACTAAATTAACGTAATGAGTACATTTTAAAAGAGGTGCACAGCAAATAAAAAACTTCATGTGCATATAAATGCTTATGAAGAGAGAGAGAGAAATGGCATATTATATATCCTATAGACTATCTCAGTGCTATACATTCATTTATACACAGCTCAGAATATAAATACACCCA